GAATGCTTGCTTAGCATGCATAAGGCTTAACTAACTTGGATTTCCAGTAATGCAAAAGTGGGGTGGGGGAGAGAAAATAAATTAAAAAATAGAAGAAACTAAAGAAAAGACATCAAGTGGAGGTCAGATGTGGTAGCCTGCACCTGCAATCCCAGCACTTGGGGAGCTAAGGCAGGGGGATTGCTTACGCTGTAGTTTCCCTCCTCAAGTGGAGAAATTAGTAAGGCCATTTTATCTGGCATGAACATTGGAGTGCTGGGATTGTTTTTAGACACACCTAAGCCGTGAGAAAATCTTTTGTATCTGATCAGTAATTGTTTTCTGAGATTTATGGAGCTTTTTTTCTGAAGGAGTTTTATGGCCTTTGCATGACTTCAGACACAAGACGTTCCTGCCCAACCTGGAATTCTTGTATTATTGAGCACTGCATGTTGTTCACAGTAAGGACTGAGAAGTGCGTGGGTCATGTGTCCATTCAGGCAGCACGTGGATCTGATCAGAGGCTGTGGTATGGGAAACTTGACTCACCCTAAAAATAACTTTTGTGTAGCCATCAATAAATACACTTCTGCAGAGCCGCTCGGGGTTCAGTCCTTTGAGACTGTTCCCCCTGCTGCTGCAAAGCCTTCATCCTCAAGGGTCTCTCTTTGGTCGTCCCGCAAAACTCAGTTTACCAATACCCACTACTGTTGATTTTTGTGTTTCCCTGACTCACATTGGAGTTCCTCTGTACAAAAGTGATTCCTTTCTCTACTTCACTGGGGGAAAAAGATATTTCTATTTTTGAGTATGAGTGTATGTCTTGCACCATGTGCATTCAGTACCCGTGGAAGCCAGAGGAGGGCATCGGATCCCTTGGAACTGGAGTTACAGATGGTTATAGAGTTGCCACGGTCATAGTGTCTCTTGACAGCAATGAAAACCCTATGACACACACCTCAGCAGCAAGGACAGACATCGCCCTCACATAAGCAGATGCAGCCATGTTAATATCTGACAAGATAGGTTTCAAACCCAAACTTATCAGAAGAGATAGGGAAGGACATTACATACTCACCAGAGGAAAAAATCAACCAAGAGGATGTTGTAGCTCTAAATATGTATGCACCATACACAAAGGTACCCAAGTTTATAAAAGAAATACCACTATAACTAAAGTCACATATTGACCCTCACACAGTGATAGTGGGTGATTTCAATACCCTACTCTTGACAATAGAGAGGTCATTCAGACAAAAGCTAAACAAAGATATGCTGGAGTTAAATAACATCATAAATCAAATGGACCCAGGAGATATTTACAGAACATCTCACACCCACACAAAAGAATACACCTTCTCAGTAGCTAATGGAACTTTCTCCAAAATTGACCATATTCTTTGACACAAAGCAAGTCTCAACAGATACAAGAAAATTGAAACAACACTGCATCTTATCTACCCATCATGGTTTAAAGATGAATATCAATAACAGAAACAACAGAAGGTATACAAACTCGTGGGAACTGAATAACTCACTACGGAATGAAAGCTGATTCAAGACAGAAATTAAGAAGGAACTTAACCCTTTTGGAGGAGTGGATGGGGGTGGGTCATGGGGAGGCAAGGGGGATGGGAGGAGGGATAGGAGGGGGAACTGTGGTTGGTATGTAAAATGGAAAAAAATTATAAAAAAAAATTAAAAAAGAAGGAACTTAAAAACTTTGCCCGGCGGTGGTGGCGCACGCCTTTAATCCCAGCACTCGGGAGGCAGAGCCAGGCGGATCTCTGTGAGTTCGAGGCCAGCCTGGGCTACCAAGTGAGTTCCAGGAAAGGCACAAAGCTACACAGAGAAACCCTGTCTCGAAAAACCAAAAAAAAAAAAAAAAAAAAAAAAAAAACTTTTTAGAATTGAACGAAAATGAAAACACAACATACCCAAACCTATGTGACACAATGAAGGTGATTTTAAAAGGCAAATAGAACTAAGTGAGTACATTAAAAAAAATTGGGCTGGATGGTGTTGGTGCATGCCTTTAATCCCAGCACTCAGGTAGCAGAGGCAGGTGGATCTCTGTGAGTTCAAGGCCAACTTTGTCTACAGAGTAAGTTCCAGGACAGTCAGGGCTACAAAAAGAAACCTTGTCTCAAAAAACAAAACAAACAATAAAACCCCCAAACAAAACAACAACAAAAAAAAAAAAGAAGAAAAAGAAAAAGAATCAAATTAAACAAAGAGTTGGTTCTTGGAGAAAATCAATAAAATAGATAAATCCTTAGCCAAATTAACTAAAAGACATGGAGAGAAGATACAAATTAATAAAATTTGACAGAAAAAGAGGGACGTAACTACAGACACTGAGGAATTCCAGAGAATTATAAAGACATTCTTTAAAAATCTGTACTCCATTAAATTGGAAAGACTAAAAGAAATGGATAAATTTCTTGATAAATATCACCTACCAAAGTTAAATCAAGATCAGATAAGCAATTTAAACAGACCTATAACCGCTAGAGAAATAGAAGCAGTAATTAAAAGTCTCTCAACAAAAAAATGCCTATGGCCAGATAGATTCAGCATAGAATTCTACCAGACTTTCAAAGAAGAATTAACACTAATACTCAAATTATTCTACAAAAGAGAAAATGAAGGAACATTGACCAATTCTTTTTGTGAAGCCACAATTCCTCTGATGCTTAAACCACACAAAGACCCATCAAAGAAAGAAAGTTACATATCAAATTCCTTTATGAACACAGATGCAAAAATTATCAATAAAGTATTGGCAAAATAATCCAAACACATCAAGAAGATCATCTACCATGATCAAGTAGGATTCATCTCAGAGGTGTATGGATGACTCAACATACATAGATCAGTAAATGTAATCCAACATAGAAACACACTGAAAGATAAAAACCACATGATCATCTCATTAGATGCAGAAAAAAATTTGACAAAATCAACACCCCTTCATGATAAAAGTCCTGGAGAGACTAGGGATACAAGGAGCATACCTCAATATAATAAAGGTAATTTACAACAAGCTCACAGCCAACATCAACCAAAATGCAGAGAAACTCAAAGCATTTCCACTAAAATCAGGACCAAGACAAGGTTGCCCACTCCCCATATACCTATTCAATATAGTACTTGAAGTCTTAGCTAGAGCAATAAGACAACTAAAGGAGATCAAGATCGGATACAAGTTGGAAAGAAAGACGTCAATGTATCTTTATTTGTAGATGATTTGATTGTATACATAAATGACCCTAAAACTCCACAAGGAAACTTCTACAGTGAATAAACACTTTCAGCAAAGTAGCTGGATATCAACACACCAAAATTAGTAGTCTTCCTATATACAAATGACAAATAGACTAAGAAGGAAATCAAGGAAACAGCACCTTTCACAATAGCCTTGAAAAACACAAAACATCTTGGAGTAACTCTAACCAAGCAAGTGAAAGACTTGTATGATAAAGAACTTAAGACAGCCGGGCAGTGGTAGCACACACTTTTAATCCCAGCACTGGGGAAGCAGAGGCAGGTGTAGCTCTGTGAGTTTGAGGCCAGCCTGGTCTACAGCATGAGTTCCAGGACAAGCTCCAAAGCTACACAGAGAAATTCTGTCTTGAAAAACTGAAACCAAACCAAACCAAAACTTAAGACATTGAAGAACATAGCAGAAGAGGGAAAGATCTCCCATGCTCATGGATTGGTAGAATTAACAGAGTAAAAAAGCCACCTTACCAAGAGCAACATACAGATTCAGTGCAACCCCCCCCCAAAATTCTACATAGAAATTGAAAGTACAATGTTCAGCTTCATATGAAAACACACACAAAAAAAAATCCTGTTAAAACAATCCTGAAAAAATAAAAGAACTGCTGGAAGTTTCACCATCCCTGATCTCAGATTTTATTATAGAGCTATAGTAATAAAATAAGCATGGTATTGGCATAAAAACAGACACTTGGATCAGTGGAACTTAATAAAAGACCCAGACATAAATCCACAGAACAATGGATACCTGATTTTTGATAAAGAATCAAGAAATACACAGTGGAAAAAAGACAGAATAGGCACTAAGAACAACAATCAGTAAATGGATCCTTATGAAATTGAAGAGCTTGTAGCCTGGTGGTGGCACATGCCTTTAATCCCAGCACTCAGGAGGAAGAGGCAAGTGAATTTGAACTCAAGGCTAGCCTTGGTCTACAGTGTGAGTTCCAGGACAGCCAGGGCTACACAGAAAAATCCTGTCTTGAAAAATCAAAAGGAAAAAAAAAAAAGCAAGCAAGCAAGCAAAGTGAAGTTTCTGTATAGCAAGGGATACCATAATCTGGCAAAGAGGCAGGCTTTATAAAGGGAAAAGATTTTTGCCAATTACACATTCTGTAGAGGGCTAATATCTATAATATATAAAGAATTCAAAAAAATGGAACATCAAGAAAACAAGTAACCCAACTAAAAATGGGGTACAGAATTAAACAGAGTTTATAAAATGAAATCATGAAATTTGTATGTAAGGGGATGGAGATTAAAAAAATTATCCTGAGTGAGGAAACCCAGACCCCAAAAAATAAATACAGTAATGTACTCTCTTTTATGTGAGTGTTAGCCTTTAAGCCTTTGATAAACATGCTATTTGGATAATCACAAAAGTTAGGTATAGAGTAAGGAACTAGTGGGGAGGGAAGGATTTCTCAAGGAAGGAGAAATAGGATATATAGAGAGAAATGGGGGAGACCAGAATGGGAGGATTAAATGGAGAGGAAGAGGGTAGGGGATAAGGGAGGAAATATGGGGAGGGACAGCTAACACTAAGGACCATTTAAAGGGTCATATGGAAACCTACTGTCCTAATTAGGGTTCTATTGCTATGAAAAGACACCATGACCAAGGAAATTCTTATAAAAGAAAGCATTTAATTGGAACTTGCTTACAGTTTCAAAGATTTAGTCCATTGTCATCATAGTGGGGAGCATGGCAGCACCCAAGGAGCAGTAGCTGAGAGCTATGTCCTGATCCACAGGCTGAGGGGGGAGGGGTGGCATGGACTTTCGAAACCTCCAAGTCCACTCCAATGACACACTTCTTCCAATAAGGCCATACCTGTGGTGATATTTTCTTGTGCTCTAACAATTAAAGCTTGCCTGGAGATCAGAGTGTTTACCTAGCTACTAGTTAACCATAGAGGCCAGGCAGTGGTGACACACATCTTAAATCCCAGTACTTATGATGTCATGCCTTTGATTCCAGCACTTGGGAGGCACACACCTTTAATTCCAGCACTAGGGAGGAGAAAACAGAAGTGATATGGCTGGACGGAGAGAGGAACATAAAGCGTACAATGACAGGAGCTCGGTCCCCTTTCAGACTAAGGATTTGGTGAGGTAAGAGGTGTCTGTGGCTTGCTCCTTTGTCTCTCCGATCTTTCAGCATTTACACCATATCTGGCTCTAGGTTTTTATAGTTAAGACCAATTAGGATTCATGCTATATCTGGCGCCCAACTTTTGGGGCACAAATTCACAAAAAAGCTGCTTGCCTGTGACTTTGCAGCCATCAGCACAGACCAGAGCTGCACATGGCTGGAGTCATTACATCACCAGCTAACGTTTTCCTTTCTTTTCCTCAAGCCTCTGAGCAAGTTGGGATTTTTCTGTTGCAGCCCATCTGCAGCAAACTCCATAGGCTTTTGGGCTTCCTAAAACCACAGGAGGTAGCTGCTTTTGCATGTTCCCCCATGCAGACTACTGACTATTTGGCTTCTTCTCTCCTGGTGGGTTGTGGGCTTTCCCTGAACCCCCTCCTTGGCTACTGCCAAACTAGGCAGCTGCCTTGAAAACCTGCTCAGGCTTCTACTGTTCTATGCAAAATCAGTCAGTCGCAGTCTTCACTGTCATCGTTGGCAGACTTGGTGAGACAATTGGATTTCTTAAAGGAAGGAATTAATTAAAAGAGAGAAGGGTTTTTCCCCCCACATTAAAAGTGGGAAACACTATTACAATGGAGGGAGTAAGGTCTCTGTATATGATGGACAGTTTACAAATGGAGCAATTAAATGAGAGGATAATTAATTTAGATGGGGTTTATATCCTGTCAATTATAAATATTATCTGTTTTATCATTTAAAAATTAATATGAGTGCCAAGATAAAAGTTTTAGAAAGAAAGCCAGGCGGTGGTGGTGCACGCCTTTAATCCCAGCACTTGGGTGGTAAAGGCAGGTGGATCTCTGTGAGTTTGAGGCTAGCCTGGTCTACAAAGTGAGTTCCAGGAAAGGCGCAAAGTTACACAGAGAAATCCCGTCTCAAAAAAGCAAAAAAACAAACAAACAAAAAGTTTTAGAAAAGCTTATTAAAGCAGATCATAGAGATATTCAGACCCAGACAGAGGAATTTAAAGGAGAACTGATCTCAGCATTGCATTATAAGGTTAGAGAGGAACGGCCTAAGGTTTTCAAACAGTCAACCTTAATTTATTCAGTATCCTTACAGGAAGTGCCAAGTCATAGATATCCCCAAGGCTGTATAGGAGCTGATTGGTCTCCTGTGGAAATACTAGATTTAAGGAGATTCAAGGAAGTAATAGTCTCATATGGCATGCATTCACCTTTTGTGAAGCAGATATTAAACTTGTGGTCAATGTGTAATAGGATTATCCCTCAAGACTGGAGAGACTTGGTTACAGCAGTCTTGGAGCCTGGTCCTCAATTACAATGGAGTACCTGCTAGAAAGATGAGGCTAAGACCATTGAACAACAAAGTAGGGCTAGAGGTATGGAAATCTCCAAAGACCAACTTCTTAGAGAGGGTGATTATACTAATGTAGAAAGGCAATCTCTATGTGATGACCACACCCTGGCTTTATGCTGCACAGCAGCCTTAAATGCTTGGGACAGAATTGAAGAAGTAGAAAAGAAAACTGAGTCATTTACTAAAGTTATACATGGTCCCAAAGAAACCTTCACTGATTTCTTACAAAGATTGACTTCAGTGGTAAATAGAATAATACCAAATTCAGAATCTAGACAAATAATAATTGAATCTCTGCCCTTTGAAAATGCTAATGCACAATGCAAAAGGTTAATTAGGCTGTTAAAGGCAAGATCAGCATCCTTAGAGGAATGGATACAGTCAATATTGACTCTCATAACCATGATGATGCTTGGATAAAAGAGGTGATTTCCAGAGGTTTGAAGAAAAATCGAAATGTCAGATGTTTCAATTGTGGTAAATAAGGTTATCTAAAAAGGGATTGTAAACAGGGCATTCCTAGAAACAATGTTTTTTCCAAGAATAATCCCAACAATATGTCCCTCCCTTCTGGATTATGGCAAAGGCAGACATTGGACTAATGAATGTAGATCAACAAAGGATAGTCAAACTAACACTTTGCCATTGGGAAATGCCTTGAGGGGCCTCTCACAGGCCCCCATGTCAAATTCAGTTCAGTCATTTCTTGTCATCGTGGAGTAAACTCCTTCCCAGAGCAATTCAAGGACCTAATGCCTATTATAAAAAAGCATACTGCTCTGGATTATAGAAGAGCTTTAGAAGATAAAACAAAAATTTCAGGAGAAACCAGAACAAGAGAGACCTCTTGATTATAGTTCATCAAACAGCATGGCCATTCAATCTAAACTAACTTTTAAGACTAACAAATGCTTTCAATTTGATAAGATGTAACTTGCCAAAAGGGAACCTACTCAAAATTAGGGTTGGGGAGGTGTTTTGTTTTGTCTTTTCAGGAGAATGAAGGCATTAAGCTAGGGAATCTGAAGACCATTGGACAAATGAGACATCAAAAGAAGTGGACAAATCATCCAGAAAAAGAGTAAATTGGGCTATTGGTATATCACATCTCCAACAGGATAAAAATTCATAAATCTTCCTAAATGTTTGTTTTTGCTGTTCTCTACAGACATATAATGCAAATGGTCTTTTTTTTTAAAAAAAAAAAAGATTTATTTATTTATTATGTATACAGCATGTATGACATCAGTCCAGAAGAGGGCACCAGATTTCATTACAGATGGTTGTGAGCCACCATGTGGTTGCTGAGAATTGAACTTAGGACCTCTGGAAGAGCAGTCAGTGCTTTTAACCTCTGAGCCATCTCTCCAGCCTGCAAATGGTCTTTTTGTAGTTTCAGTTCAATTAAAAATCAAAGCTGGCTTTGGAGTTGGAGTGTGGCTCTCTCCTTCTCTAAACCCAAGCATGCTTGTTAAAAGGAAAATCCAAAATCTCTGTCTTATGTCAGAAGAACCACCTGATATGGAACAGAAGAAAAACTAAAATTATGGACTATTCCATTGCCACTAATCTCATATATCTTTGGTTTTATTTTGACTCTTTAGAACTTTTATTAAGGCATAAATATTATATCAAAATTTATAAGATATTATATATATATATATATATATATTGAGGATTTTGTTCTAATATTATTGGTCATATAGATTACTAACTAATTCTAGAAAAAGGTTTCATCTAGCTACCTATATATGATTTCAGGTTTGAATCTCTATTAGGTAACTAAGAACTAAGTTTTTGTACTCTGGATGTACATAACAAATATTGATCCTTTAACCTCTTTGAAATCTTCTGCATATGACATATAAGTGTTTAAGTTTTTGGCAGTGTACCATGACCATGCCTAACAGTGACCTTTGAAGTCTCCAGAAGGATGATGGGGATCCACAACAACAATTCTACCAGAACTATGATAATGCTACTAAGTTGACAAATACAACTCAAAGATAAGCTTTGAACTACAAACTGCTTCGGACAATCTCAAGGTGGCTAGCTGAGATGATCCAGCTTCACAGACTACTCTAGACAGTACTTGAGACAAGCCCTGCACTTTCCCATTATGCAGAGGCTGGACAACAAATGATACAGCTACCTCTCCCAGGACTTGACAATTAACCCAAAATTTTCTTTTCAGGATCCCCTAAAGATGCCATCACCCCCAGAGAGCAGGAAGTAATTTTAAGAACATGACTCCCACATTCCAAAGAGGTGGGTTTTTTTGGTTGTTCAATGGGTTATGGATATTTGTCATTGTTTAGGATGGTTGGTTACAAGTTGTTAATGGAAATGGTTAAAAAAAAGCTGAACAAAGGAGATTAAATTCAGGGTTCTTGTTTTGGAAAAAAAGAAAAAAAGGAGATATAGATACGATAGGATAAAAAGGTAGATTATTGAATCTACTTTTTTTTTTTTTTTTTTTTTTTTTTTTGGTTTTTCGAGACAGGGTTTCTCTGTGTAGCTTTGCGCCTCTCCTGGAACTCACTTGGTAGCCCAGGCTGGCCTCGAACTCACAGAGATCCGCCTGGCTCTGCCTCCCGAGTGCTGGGATTAAAGGCGTGCGCCACCACCGCCCGGCCTGAATCTACTTTTAAAAAGCAACTATTTGTTTTAAATATTTTACATTGATATGGATCTCTGTATATTGATACAAAGTTGAGATTGTTTTTATTAGAACAATTTCTAATATTGTTTAAGGTATTGTACCTATACATCTAACAATGTAATGCAAATTTCTAGTCCTTGAAGGTTATTATTACCAACTATTTAGGATATAAAGAAATGCGGGTTAGTAGTTAGTCATCTATTATAATCAAACTTGTAGTCATATTACATATGTTATCCAGGTCAAGCAGAGATATATTTTAGGTAGACAGGTAGTCTTCAAACACTTCAGAGATGTATAGAATATGCATTTAAGATGTTTTAATAACATATGTTCTTTTTTTTTTAATGACAAGGAGACATGTCTGTTCCTGGAAGCATCAATCTACTTAAGAGAAGATAATGGGCATCAAAGAAACTCCATATGAAGTTTATTTACTTTGTGGCAAAAATTAGCCACTGGGCAAGAAAATGTCCTTGCATTGACTGCTGACAGACAGTACACTGTCCAAATGGGACAAGCAGGACACAAAAGAAAGGACTGCAGAACTTTGTCAAGACAAGGTAGAATAACCCTTCAGAAAATCCTGCTTCACAGATAAGCCTGTCAGATATTTTAGACCTGTAGGCTGAAGATGGATGCCCCGACATTACAGAGGAACCTCGAGTGACTGTCCAGGTAGCCAGCTGTTTTTGTCATTTCTCATATTTTTAGAAGTCACTTGCCTGCACTTCCTGCTTGCTCAGGTAATATTATTTCCTTCTCGAGTCTCTGATGGGGTTGAAGACTTTATAGTTATAGTTTTCCTTGTTACCTGATTCAGAGAAGAAATTCACTAAAGAGGTGTAAAGTGTATGATGTTGAGAGACATTGAAAGATAGTTTGGGGGGCTTGAGAGATGGTTCAGAGGTTAAAAGCACTGGCTGCTCTTCCAGAGGTCCTGAGTTCAATTCCCAGCAACCACATGGTGGCTCACAACCATCCCTAATGAGCTCTTGTGCCCTCTTCTGGCGTCCAGTCATACATGCAGACAGAACATTGTATATATAATAAATAAATAAATCTTTAAAAAAAAAGTTTTGGTAATGCAAGTTAGAATAGAAAGTGAATTAGGTGCAACTTTTTGGACTCACCAAGATAGGGTAGATATGGAGTATTTTCTCTGAATTTGTCAATTGTTAATGGACTAGACATTGCTGATGCATTTATTGCCTGTACATATTATATATAGTTATTGTACTTATTGTATGTAGTTTTATTTACATTAGTTATAATGTTCTTTTTTTAAATTTTATCAAAAAGGGGGAAATGTGGTGATATTTTGTTTGTGCTCTAACAATTAAAGCTTGCCTGGAGATCAGAGTGTGGATCTAGCCACTAGTTAACCATAGAGACCAGGCAGTGGAAGACACACCTTTAATCCTAGCACTTGAGATCTCATGCCTTTGATCCCAGTACTTAGGAGGCACATGTCTTTCATCCTAGCACTAGGGAGGAGAAAACAGGAGGTGATATGGCTGGACAGAGAGAGAGGGATATAAGGTGGGCAGAGACAGGAGTTTGGTCCCCTTTCAGGCTGAGGAATTGGCAAGGTAAGAGGTGGCTGTAGCTTGCTCCTTTGTCTCCCTGATCTTTCAGCATTTATCCAGATATCCAGCTCCAGGTTTTTATTATTAAGACCAATTAGGATCCACAGTGAATCATTTGGTTGAGCTCCTGGAGTTCAGTTGAAGAGAGGGAAGAGGGATTATAGGAGCAAAGGGGGTCAAGATCATGATGGGGAAACCCACAGAGACAGCTGACCCGAGCTAGTGGGAGCTCACAGACCCTAGACTGACAGCTGGGGAGCCTGCAAACTAGGCCCTCTGAATGTGGGTGACAGTTGGGTGGCTTGATCTGTTTGTGGGACCCCTGGCAATGAGACCAGGACCTATCCTGGGTACATGAATTGGCTTTTTGGAGCCCATTCCCTATGGTGGGATGCCTTACTCAGCCTTGATGCATGGGGGAAGGGGCTTAGTCCTGCCCCAACTTGGTATACCAGCTGGTGTTGACTACCTAAGGGAGGCCTTACCCCCTATGAGGAGTGAATGGGGGGGTGGGATAGGGGGAGGCAGGGGAGGAATGGGAGAAGGGGAGGGAGAGGGAAGAGTGGTTGTTATATAAAATGAAAAAAATTTAAATTAAAAAAAAAACCAATTAGGATTCTTGCTACACACAACTACTCCAACAAGGCTACACCTCCTAATCTTTCTAATCTTTTCAAACAGTTCAACTCCCTGGTAACTAAGCATCCAAAAATATGTCTATAGGGGACATTCTTATTTAAAGCACCACATTTACCATTCTGTTTTTGAGACAGAGTTTCTCTGTGTAGCCTTGGCTGTCCTGGAACTTGCTCTGTAGACCAGGCTGGCCTTGTACTCACAGAGATCCGCCTGCCTCTGCCTCCCGAGTGCTGGGATTAAAGACATGCACCACCACTGCCTGGTAGGATCTCTTTAAATATGTACATACATGAAAGAAAGCCACACAGAATCACGAAATAACAGGGAGACAAAGCCCCAACTAGATGTCTCTCACCACCAAGTGAAACCTCCAGTACCAGGAATGGGTTACATCTGAAGGAGTTGTTGACCAAGTGGGTCCCATGGAAACCCGCAAGTAATTCAAGTGATTGCCAAGGCTACTGGTTGCTCTCCACAAACTGATGGTAAGACTCTATTGCTGAGACAGCACCTACATAACTCACTGAACATGGAGAAGTTGAGCTGGTGTCTAACTAGAGCCCTCACCCCTACTGACTAGTGTTCATGGTATTTGAAGGTACGCTGCATGTTACCAGAGCAGAAGTGTAAACACCAACCCTGCTACAAACCCTTTGATCTGCAATGGTGACCTGTCTGCATGATATGCTGGTGCAGCAGTGGTACAGATGTGGGAGCGACCACTATCTAATTGGATTTATGGCCCTCTCCATGCATTGGAACCCATGCCTGATAGTGCTCAGGTGGCCAAGAACCTGAGACGAGATAGGCCATATGTAGGGCAGGCCCCAAGACCAGTAGTAGTTAGCCAACACAAAACCAACTCAAAGGGTGTTTTTGGAGACTTTTTTTTTGTCTCATATTGCTTTGTTTGTGGATTTTTTTAACCTTACTGCTTGACTTTTATTATTCCCAATTTTGAGTTTCTATGGCTTGTGTGTTTGTGTGTGTGTGTGTGTGTGTGTGTGTGTGTGTGTGTGTGTGTGTTACTTTAGCTTTCTTTTCTTTGTTTGGTTTGTTAGTTTGGTTTGTTTTATTCTTGTTCATCTTTTTTATTTGCCTGTTTGTTTTCTTAAGAAAATAGCCAGAAGGCATGGAGTTGGAAGGGTAGGGAGGTGGGGAGGATCTGGAAGGGGATGAGGGAGGGAACCGTGGTAAGAATATATTGCATGAAAATAACTTTATCTTCGATTGAAAACAACAACAACAACAAAAGAGCCAGACTAGTACTGGGGGAGCTGCTGCTGGAGTCAGGGTTTGAGAGCAGAGACATAGAGTACAACCGCACGTGAAAGGCTGAGCAACGGTCCAAGACCAGGAATCAGTGGGTTTCAGGTTCCAGTCCAGTCAAATGGGCCACGTCAACAGTAGAGGACTGAGGTGAGTCAAAGCTCTGGTGACAGTTGGAGAGGCCTCTGCTGGTTGGCTCCCGGTGTACACATCCGGTGTCAGATGCTAGATTGGTGTGGGCCCTGCCAACACAGTGCTGGGTGTCCATCCCTTGATGGGGTCCAGGTGAGAAAGCTTCTCCTTGGCTGACGCATCTGATAGGCTCTTGGCCCTGGTTTTCCTGATAGGATTAACATGCCCATATGCCCTGGGAATCTTAACTGATCCCTGTAAATTTTTCAGCGGTTCCAGTTTTGGTTTTAAGAAGTGATTGGTCACTGTGTGGGTGGCACAAGACGGATGGTGTGGTTTGTGGCTTGCATTCTTCCCTCCCTCTCAAAATGAAGTAAATGGCAGCTTATAAAATGGAATCTCCTAGGGCAAGACACAGAGTAAAAAAAAAATTTATATGATATTGAGTGATTTAGAGTTGGGCACAGCCTGTTCTCAATACACTGCATCCCAAATGCCCTACATGGTATGGGTGAGAACCAGGCTTTACTTGACCATCTCAGTTTCCCTATCAAGCAAGTTGCAGGAGAATTTCGTTGTGTGACATGACCCTTTTACGCTTGCCAGTGTGATACCAGGAACTAACAGGAGCTTGGGGCATGTGATACTTTAGCCAGATAGATTTGTGTCTGAAGAATGATAAACCCTTTCTTCCAGTTGACTGGTTCTCATACCCTGGAGCAACCTTATACTTCCTTCATATAAAATTTCAGCGCTGTTGACTAAATTCTTTTAGGCCTTAGCTTGTGGAGTGAAAGCTCAAAGTATCTACCTCAAAGATAAAATCACAAGGAAAATAAAATAATAGAAGAGTTACCTAAAACAAGTGACATTTTAGTGAATCAAATAGGGGCGGAGCCTCTGAAATTTATTATAAACTAAACAATTTCCTGATTTTATGTATATTGTGAGGAGACTAAGGCACACAAGACATAGTCCTTCCCTGTGAGGAGATGGTTTTTATCCTTTGTTTTTGTTTGGTGTTGTTGCTGGAGATGGAACCCAGGGACCTGTGCATGCCAAGTGAATGTTCTTACTTAACCCGTGAACTACATCTCCACCCTGTTTGTGTCTTGTTAGGAGCTTGATTCTAGATAAGTGGGGGAATGAATATTAGAAAATAAGGAACAGGAGCACTAGTTGACTCGTGAGGAAGGAAATGAATAAAGTGCATGAGTCTGAGCCTAGAGATTTCAACTATAGAAAGAAAAAACTCAAGAAGGAAAGGTATCAAAGTATGAACAGGCTGTCTTTCTACTCTCAGCCAGGAGCATCCTCTTCCCTTCCCTCCCTGTGCCTTTCTCTGCCTATGACATGTAAGGACCCATCCCTTTCCCATGGTATTTAAATACTTTTAAAAGGCCAGCGTTGTCTCTGCCTCTCCTGAGTTCAGGTGAATGACTTGCAGAAATGTAACATACAGGAAACAGGTGTTTGAGAGACTAAGTGTGGAGGCACACACCTGTAACCCCAGCCTTCTGGAAGTAGAGACAGGAGGATCAGGAGTTCAAGGTCAGCCTCAGCTACACAGTGAGTCTGAGACCAGATTATATTAAATGAAAACTTGCTTAATAATAATAATAATAATAATAATAATAATAATAATAATAATATAACAAAGTTTGCAAAGAAAAATGCAAGTGCTTGCCTCAAGAGGTCAACGTCCCAGGTGCAGAAGACTTTCTCTCTCTCTCTGTCTGCATGTATGCTTGCCCACCAGAAGAGAACATCAGATCCCATTATAGATGATTCTGAGCCACCATGTGATTGGTGGGAACTGAACTCAAGACCTCAGGAAGAAAAGTCAGTGCTCTTAACCACTGAGCCATCTGGCCAGCTCTCAAATATGTAGCCCAGGCTGGCCTTGAACTCCTGCCTCCGCCTCCTTCAGCAAATCCTATTGGAATGTACCATCACAACCAGCTAGATAAATTTCAAAGAGAAAGAGGAAACTCTCTGGAAAGTAGCCCCCAGCATGGGAATTTCCCATCCACTGTCTCACTGTAACCCCTAGGAGTCCCCAAAAAGCCTTCAGTTCCCCTGGGCATACACCCCCCACCACCACAATAGAGTTTGAGACACAGAACTGTCCTCCCGTTGATTTCTTTCCTTCCAGTTTCCGCCCCCTCAGTTTTCAGTAGAGCTCTTAGCAGAGACCTGGCTTTGGGTTGGATGCTCACTTGCATTCAGAGAAACATTGCAATCTACATAGAGATGCAAACTTAGTCACAGTGTTGGCCAATGCTGGGGAGAGGCTTGATCTGTCTCCAGCTTGCCACTGCCGTGTCCTAACTTACAGAAAACACGAAACAAATAGGGGTGTGGAGGCAGTTTCTCTCTGGCCTCAGGGCTCCATGGGTATCACCCTTACTACTTACACGGAAATTCCTAGAGGAGCCTCATCCCTAGGGCCCCAGCACACACCCTCAGATTCTGGTAATACCAGGAACACACCTGTTAAACAAGTTGTATCTCAGCGCTCTGCACTGAGGAGATGTTATCTCAAGAGAACCAAGGGGGCATCAGGAAGAACCGAAAGGACCTTGGTGTGTGTTACACTTGGGGTAAGTTCAGTAGGAGGCCTATGCTTTGAATTTCCATCTGAAGCCAAGGATGTGATTCTGCGGCTCCACATCCTACTGACCCTGTGATGAGGACCTAGCAGTTTCAGCATTTCAGGTTTTAAATTAAA